TGTAATAAGAAAGGAGGGATCAGAAGGTCTCACCAGGAAGAGAGACAGTGGGTCTACAGCAGAGCCCTACAACTACCCTACATGGGCTCCTTGCAAAACACAAGCCACAAGGAATGACAGTTGATGCCCCAGGGAAGGGCTGCACACCCAAGCTGTGCTACACCAGGCTCTTGGCAACAGCTTCTGCTTTACCAGTGCACAGCTGGAACCCTGCAGGTCTCCAGTCCCCTTTGCAGAAACTCCTGAGCAGCTGGAGAAACCCAGAGATGTGAATTCCAGTTGCCTCACTCTGATTTTTTTTTGCTCTTCAAGAGGCACGAAGCTCCAATTGCTCCGTGTGAGAAGAAATTCCAACTTCAGCAGAGGCAGCAGATCCTTCAGCAGGGACCAGCTGTGCCTCTGGACAGGCAGGATGTGCCCCCTGCTCCCAAAATGCACAACAACCAGATGTGGGACCTCACCAAAGACTGTTTTACTGCCTGGATCCAGTCCTGCTGTCCTGCACTTGCTGCTGAATATTCAGGTTGGACATGAGGAGGAAATTCTTTGGTGTGAGGGTGGTGAGAGCCTGGCCCAGGTTGCCCAGGGAAGCTGTGGCTGCCCCATCCCTGGCAGTGCTGAAGGGCAGGTTGGATGGGGCTTGGAGCAACCTGGGCTGGTGGGAGGGTTTCCCCCTGCCCATGCAGGGGGTTGGGAATAGATGCCGTTGAAGGTGCCTGAGCTCGGTGCCTCTCCCGCCCAGCAGATGGCAACAGCCCCTCGCCAGGCGCCCAGCACCGCCCAGCACCCCCTGCCCTGCTTTCAGCTTTCCCTGCTTTGCAGATCTCAACAAGGGCTTTTCTACAACCCTGCTGGGCCATTTCCCCACAGCTACAACAGCTGTTTGTGCTATTTATCGTGCTCCCTGCCTGCCTCTCCTGAGCGGAGCCTTGCACTGGCTCTGCCCCTCCTCCAGCCCACCTGAGGTCACACATCCCCGTGCCCACCCAAGGTCACACATCTCTGTACCCACCTGAGGTCACACATCCCCATGCCCAGTTCAGGTCACACATCCCCATGCCCATTTCAGGTCACACATCCCCATGCCCACCTGAGGTCACACATCTCCATGCCCACCTGAGGTCACACATCCCCATGCCCACCTGAGGTCACACATCCCCATGCCCAGCTCAGGTCACACATCCCCATGCCCACGTCAGGTCACACATCCCCATTCCCAACCCCAGATAACCCCAGCAGCACATCCAAGCTTGGTGGCTGCTTTTATCTCAGGCCAGTCCCAGGAGACAGGGTAGAGGGGACAGGGAACCCCTGGACCAAATCAAGGCACAGCAGGCACCAAGAAAGCTCACTCCAAATTCATCTTTCCACCCCAAAGTACCTCAGCACGGAGTCAAGAGCTTCATGAGAGCTTGCAAGGGAGGTGAGGAGAAGTCCCACCACCTTCCAGGCACCAAAGCTGCACTAGCCCAGCCTGGGGGAAAACAGGCTCTGGTGTCTGGACAGACAGACTCCCAGCTCCCTTCACCTAGATTTTACAAAGCAGGGGGGTCAAAACTGCTCAATTGTTTTATTTTTGGGTGATGTTTTCCTGCAGAAGGAGAAAGCAGAGAGCCTGTCACCCAGCTTTCCTGCCACCACCAGAATTCCACCTTGGCTGGGGACAAACACAGGACCTGGGGCTGCAGGTAAGGCACCCCAGCCAGGTGATGCTCTTCCTGCCCTGGAGCAGAGGGATAGGGAATGAGATTCCTCTTGCACATGTGACAGCAGAGCACTGAGAGACCCTGACAGTATGAAGGTCCCTGGCCTGCAGTACCAAAGTTCAGAACTTGACCCTTTTAGAGGCTTTTAGCCCCTACTGGGAGATACCAATGTTGGTTCTTCTCTCTATGAACTTGTTGAACGACACCAACTCTGGGTACTGGGGGGGTTCAGCTGGTCATGGAATTGTAGAATCCCAGACTGGTTTGCAAAAGGCACCTTAAAGACCATCTAGATCCAACCCCCCTGCATGGGCAGGGACACCTCCCACCAGCCCAGGCTGCTCCAAGCCCCATCCAACCTGCCCTTCAACACTGCCAGGGATGGGGCAGCCACAGCTTCCCTGGGCAACCTGGGCCAGGCTCTCACCACCCTCACACCAAAGAATTTCCTCCTCATGTCTCATCTAAATGTCCCCTCTTTCAGCTTGAAACCATTTCCCCTCATCCTGTCCCTGATGTTCAGCTCCCTCTGGTGACAGCCACCAGGAGAACGGGATGAGTCACCAAGAAGAGCAACCTTCTTATCCAAGAGAAGACATTTTCATTTAGACTGCTTAAAGCATGAGTTTACACTCGTTTGAACAAACCTGGAGGAGAAAAGGTCTCTGTCAAGGCCTCAACACTTGCAAGAGCCAAGCTCTTGAGCCATTTTGTGCTGTTTAAGGAGGACCAGAGCTGACACTCCAAATCCAGTGACCACGAGTACTCTCAGCACCATGGCCCAGCACCTCTCCTCCACCTCACCTTCCAAATGTCCTCTGATGTGACGTGAGAGGAGAAAAGCCCTGCCAAAGCAGAAGGGGCTCACCAGGTGCCTGAAGTCCATGGCCTATGTTTTGGGGGCTGAGAAGAAGCTTGTTTAGCTGCCTGGTGGCCCCACGTGGTGGCAAGTTTTTGAGCTGCCCACTTGCTGTGCACTGTCTGAAATGGGGCCATTTGAGAATGCAAACTGCTTTTTGGTGGTGGGGGGAGGTCTACTGGGAGGAAAGGCAACACCTTCCCTTCTGGAAGGGTGCTTTTTCCTCCTCCTCTTTTCCAGGTGAATCCAAGCAAGGTGGAATATATATTAGAAAAAGCCATTTCTTCTGTTTTCTGTCTTAAGATTTCCAGAGCGGCTGCTTGTGGTACCTAGTGAAGAAGAACCTGGTGGGTTCTCTGCACCAGCAGAGAGCTCTGCCAGGCAGGGCAGCACCACGATCCAGTGAAAAATCCCTCATCTGCTGCTCCCAGCAGGTTGCTCCTCTCATCCCACCTCCCTGGAGCAGCTCAGGCTTTCCAAAGTTCAGCACTTCCAGGATGTGTGGAATAAAACGCAGGTTGGGAGCTCACGGCTCAGCTAAAGGAGCACAAAAAAACCCTCCACCTGCCCCAAGACACCCATTTATTTTTACACTTCCAACACTGAGCAGTATTTCTGGA